AAAGAACCAAGCTCAGAGAACCCCAAGGACTCCACAGTTCAACCCTGAGCTACACATATTTACCTCTATTGGTAAAATGTTATTATCCTCAAAACAAGTGCAAGATCCTATTTTAAACAGTTACCAGAGCTGCAGTGGCAAGGCTTGAGATAGAGTTCAGATTGTAAATCTAGCTAGTGGTCTGAAAATTGCAGTTTTTATGAGGAAATGGTTTCTTGGCTTTTTAATCAGATACTTAAAATAGCTTTATTCAAATTCATAACTAGGTCTTTAGTAGTACAAATATTTTCTCTCCTTCATATTCATTCCTGTCTTGCTTTTGTGCTATACTTTATATCAATATAAATGGAGGGGGAGCACTTTAATTAAATTAGTAGCTAATTAAACTCCCTTAAGATGAGATTGTGGGAGAAGGTGAGATAAGTTGTAATTTTGCTTTCTGAAATACTCTGGCTCCTGGGAGAATTGGTTACGGACAACACAATACAAAATAAGACTCGAGAGAGCAAAACCATAGGGCTTCTGAAAAATATTAATCATTCTGAAGAGAAGATGGGGCATTGTATTTTAAATTGATGTTATATTAATTACATAACATCAAATTAAGAGACTAATTGGTAACAACTTTCCAGAACAACAAATACTGTATAATAATACTCTGAGTATTATGTTTCATTTTCCCAAGTGCAAGATACCGAGTTCAGAAAACTCAGTGCTTCAACAATGCAAGTGCTAACTTGAAGGAAAACATGTGGAGATATATACATAAGAGATTCATAGCCAACAAGTGCATGTTAAAGTACAGTTTAGATCCAACACAGTCAGTGAGAATGTCCCTTGTCTCTGGGCTGCATGTATTCAATGCAAAGCAAAATTAAAACATCATGCAGAAAAGCTCTGAAATGAAAGCTGGAATGATTTTCTATCTAGTGCTGGGCCCACTGTCTTTGTGGAACTAGATGCAGTTCAACTGGCCTGTTTCATGTAATGCTAGCTTTTACACCTTGTTCCATAGTGCCACTTCTCCACTGAAGTTTGAAGACGTACCTCTGTCTCCTTTGGGTGCATCATGACAATTTGCTTCTAAAAGCAGTTTCATAAATGAAGGGGAGCTGTTATATCCAGAATAATCTTGTAATACCTAACCTCTGTGAAATGATTTCACATTTTTGAAGCCTGCTGATGATGCAGTGGATAATATGAAAAGCTACTGCTGTGTCCACATGTTCAGTTATTAATCCTCTAGACTAGAGTGGGACTGGTAGAGGTTCTCATGAGTCCAGCACATCTCAAGCCTGATTATTGCAGCCTGTTCTCAATTTTACATGATTGCTGCTAGGAATCTCAAACCTTTCAATTATCTTCTAATAAATATATACACAAGCACTTTGTCTTCAGTTTTGGAATGAAAGAACACACAAGAATGGTGGTGCAGGGCAGCACCATTTCGTATCCTTATGACTTCTTGGGTCAGACATTTGTATAAATTGAGAGGGAGGAGCCAAATCCTGATGGCCCACCTATTTTCATGTCCTGTCCTTAGGGTCTCCATTCAAATGGGTATACAGTTATCTATCTTGAATATTCTACCCTTTACAGGGTCTGGGTTAGTGCATTTAAATAATGTTGAATGTAGTGATATTAAATGAAATATCCCCCTCTTTAGATTGTAACATTGGTTAATTAGGGGAGATGGGCAGCATACAAATTTAATAAATAAATAGTAAAATAAATAAATAAAACGGTGTGCCTGCCACCTTACTATTGAAAAAGAACACTAGGGACAATTACAGTTTAAAACAACAAACAATTGGGAAATTCAAAGTATAAAACGTAAAAAGTTAGTTAAAACATGAATGATAAAAGGACCAGTAAAGGCCTGGCAAAAAGATGCATTTTTACAGATTTCCTAAGAGTATGGAATGGAGCTTAAAGCAGCTCCCAAGGGAAGTCCATGAGTGATGCAGGAGAAAACCCTCCCCCACACACCTGATACCTTTTGTTATCTTCTGAAAGGCCTTTTGCAGAACTTATGTCAGGCTTTTAACGGGAGAGGCAATGCATCAGCTATTTAGCTTTAACCTCCTTAGACTGTCGTGTTTAACACTGCAACTTCCAGCCAACCAGAGAAGGGGCCACAGAAGCTACTTGCCCCTTGCGTTCACCAAGCATAATATCCCTTGCCCCAGCTTTTGCATGTCCCAGGGAACGCTGGAATTAGAAGGACCAAAAGGGGCTTGTAAATTGGGAGGAAGCAGACTTTGAATCAAGTGGATGGAAGAAGGTGAAGAGAACTGGAGAAAAGGTGGAACAAGTGAAGCTGCTGTCACGGTGTAAATTGCAGCAAAATATAAGGCTTTGTGACAATACAGAGGAAGTGAGAATGCAGTGGAAAAGTATTAATATGAATCAGATTTTATGGTGCCTGCTGAGGACAACAGAACACCAGTCAAGAAAACAGTTTGGTTTTTTAATTTGTTTCACTGCAGATTCACCACAGCACCCAATAAGCGTCTCTTTTGTGGTCCAAATGTTTCCAGGGGACATCAGTCCAACCCTGAAAGTTTTCCTCATGATCACTCCAGCCATTTATTTCCTATATCTGTTTTCCACAAGATCCAGCCTAACAGTAAGAGGAATATGAAAAGGAACTGGTGATTCGAAGCCACAGAGGCATCTGTTCTGTTTTGCTGCTCACACTACTATTGAAATGCAACCAAAAATCAGTCCCTGTATAATTCCAGATTCTGCCATATGGGATGTGAAAACACACTGGAAGAAATGTATGGCAAAGAGTCATAAGGTCAACTGTAGAGACTATTACTTGCAACAGAAAGATCTTGCGAATGCTCTTTCTTGAAAAGAGTTTAAATTCAGAGGAGGAGGAGTGACAAAAAGGATTCGATGGATCCCATTGCAGGTAGAGCAAAATTTACCTTTGTAAGATTTTGTCCTACAGCTAGATCGGGCATGGTATTTCTTTCTTCTGTAAAGCTTATCAGTGAATACAACCCGAGTCTGAAATAGCACAGTGTGAAAATTAGGATGCAAGCTGAAAATCCTCAGGTATTGTTTTTAGCCTGCACAGCACATTTTCTGAATCTACGTATTATCCATGCAGTCCTGAAGTCAAAATGCATTGGGGGAATATAAAGAAGCTTATAATGTATTCTCATATACTTCTGCAAAGTGGGGAATTCTTAGAAAATTGCAAAATTTTCTCTCCATTTCAGAACTAGAGAATGTTTGGAGAACTCTAAAATTAATACTATTCACCTTATTGTTGAAAATTTTAATGACTGCTAGATTCTTAAAACTGTGGAAGAACTGCACCCAAGAGCAGAAACTCAGGCTGGCTGCAATCTGTTGAGTTCATGCTTCTCACAACAGTGTGGTACAAGATACTGCAATCTACTGATACCCAAAGCAAATTTGTCCAAGGATCCAGGCTCAATGTGTAAGAAGGTTTGTAATGTGAAGAACTTATTGGGAAAAAATCAACAGTTTAATGAGTCCTGGCCAAGCCTTA